TCAGTATGAACATTTCTATGAGWGTGGGTGACCTCAAGAAGACTCATGAATTGGGGTCTCTGGAAGACTGAGAGTTTATGATTGAGGGAATAGTGAGTGTGGCGGTGGGGGCCAGGACAAGGAAAAGAAACCAGAGAGCATTTCAAATRATGGGCAAGCAAGAGGCATTATGTGTTTCCACGTCCTGGACACAAAGGGCCTTCTGCCTTGTGTCTCCTTTGCATTGATTGTTGCTGGAGGAAGAAAAGTAGGAGCACTGGAGGGGCCCTGTGAAAAGAAATGTGATGCCTAGGAGACTTGGAGAGGAATATGTGTGAGACAGAGGCACCTAGGGACAAAGCCAAGTGAATACTGATTATGACATGGGAGAGGTATTCACTGGGCACCCTGAATGGCATACCAGAATCATCTTATAGGGGAAAAAAAACCTCCATGCATCTCAACCCTCCCCAGATCTCCGTTTCCATTTCAATTGATTTTAATGCTGGTGCAATCCTATCTAAATGCTAATTTTTTCCCCCTATGAGTATAGAATGGACAAAACCTCCAAAAAATTCTAAGAGAGATTAAATAGAAAATATTATTATTAAAAACAAGACAGCGGGCACTGTCTTGGTCAGATTCTTTGGGGAATTGAATTTTACAGATATAGATATGTGTGTGCGTGCCAGTTTATTACACAAATCCGACAGCAACCAGAAGGGGAGTCTGAGGTCTCACTGTTTTACATTTGCTATTCTTGCCAGATGGAATATCCCGGTCAGTTCTCATTAGGCTGCCCTGCATCTCTGTCTCCTGCCATCAGTTGGAAGTGAGTGCTGTTAACTCTCTGAAGCAGGCCTCATTTCTGTGTGCCCTTCTAGAAGGCGTTTGGAAATTGGTTTTTGAATTAAGAATCCATATTCGTTTTCTAAGAGGCTGCTCGTAATATGCCTGTCACTCTCCAAGGCCTGACATTGTCCCTGGCTGGAGAGCTGTAACCAAGGGACAGAGCCCCTCTCTGCCTGCATCTTACAGATTCAGCACACAAACCTCCTTTGAACACCCAAGAAGAAGCAGGTGCATGCTAGGGGCCAGGTATTTTCAGTAATAAACTCACAAGAGTCCATGGCAAGCCCATGAGTCAGTAAGAACCCAGTGTGCACAAGCCAGAAAGAGGTGAGCTCCCTGCAGGATTGAGAAAACTAAGGGCTTTCTCTGAACCTGGAAGTCTTTGCTACCTAGAGCCACCATCTGGCCTTTACATCATACTGCCTTGGAAATTCCCTTTTTAATTGCACAAATCTTTTCTTATCAACTAGGTGGTCAGCTCTCTAGGAGAATTATCATGCTTCAAAATAACAATGATGAGGGGCTGGAGTTGTGGCTCAGTGGTAGAGCACTTGCCTGGCATGTGTAAGGCCCTGGGTTCAATCCTCAGGACTGCAAATAAATAAATAGGTAAATAAAATTAAAAAAAAGAGATCCATTGACAACTTAAGAATATTTTGAAAAAATGACGATTCAAATGTTGACAGTATCTTCCACTTGCCACTTTTGTATAAGTACTTTGTAAATATATCTATATCTCTGAATCTCAAATAAAAATCCTATTCCTACTTAATACTTAAAGAAGTGGTGACTCACCCAAGGTTGCAGAGCTAGTAATTGACATAGTGGGATTCCAGCCAGTTCTGTCTGGCCCCAGAGCCCACTGATCCATTCTGACTGCCATAACAAAATATCAAAGTGGGGAGCTTATGAACAACAGAAATCAATGAACTTTATTTCTTACTGTTCTTGAGGCTGGGAAGTCAAAGAGGAATTCACTGTCAGATTCAGAGTTTAGATCTTCCCTGCACTCTGGCTCATAGATAAAAGGGTTAACTAGTTCTTGCAACTTTTTGCATAAAGGTAATAACCCCAATCATGAGGGCCCCCATGACCCAGCCACCCTTAAAGGCCCCACCTTCTAATACCATCACCTTGGACATTGAGATTTCAAAATAGAAACCAATGTTATAGGTTCTTTTTTCTTTCTTTCTTTTTAGTTGTAGATAGACACAATACCTTTATTTAATTTATTTATTTCTACATGGCACTGAGGATCGAACTCAGTGCCTCACACGTGCCAGACAAGCTCTTTACCACCGAGCCCTAACCCCAGCCCTATAGGTTCTTATTAATGTTGATTGATTTAAAAAAGAGTGTGACTATAAAAATCTTAGATTGTCACCAAAGAAAATTAGATACTCTGAGAGATACTAAGAAGAAATTAGCCTTATCACTTATCTAATAACCAGATATGTTGCCAGTGTCGATATTTTATTTCCTTCATCTCTTTTGAGTGTTCTCCTATTGAATGAAGAGGCACAGAGGGGGAAAAAAAGTAGTTTAGGCTAACAGGCTTCCTAACTGAGGTGCAGTGCAGTGGCCTTGGGCCTTGTCTAGGAGTCTTTGGCCTCATTTTGGAAGTGCCTTACTATTGCAATAGAGAGAGGATTGTTTTAGAAGAAAGCACTGATTCTCATCCCCTCTGGACACTTGCCAAGGACTCTGACTGACCATTTGCCAGGATGGGGGTGGACTGTCCAAGGAGAATGACAGGTCAGCACTGCGTTTGGATTGCCCGGCCTCACCTTGAAATTTTTCTAGTGTTATAAATAAATAAGTGTTCTTGGATTTACACATACCAAATATTACGAGGCACCAATTTCTTTAGTAATAATACGATAGGTTGCAGATGATCTGTGACTTTAGAAACCTGCATAATCGGGGTGGGGGGTAGAAAAAGGTAAAGAGTTACTTTATTTCTAACTAGCTTTCCTATCTTATTTAAAAGTTTTTCAATGTCTGAGAAGGTGGCTGTTGAAGAGAAAGATTCTTAAGTTCACTAACTGGTCACTTTCCACAGTATCTGGTGAGTGGTCTATGAGGATGCCACTCTGGAGCAGTGCTCTCTAGTTGGGCATCCACATTCTGGACCAGTCACAGAAGCCTTCACCAGACCCAGACAGCCCTCATCCAAGTTTCTCAACAGGGAGGAAGGCAAAGCAGGGGTGTTACAAAAGAGCAAAACATTCTAGAGTCCTTTCTCGACTTGGTTAAACTAAATACCCTTGCCTAGATCATGGAGAATGGCTTTTTTTAGGGATAAGGGAAATAGAAAAACTAAAGATAAAGACACAACAGAACAGACCGGGAGTGATCGTTCTCAATTTAAAAYGGTAATTTGTTTTATGAAAGAGAGAAAGATCATGAATCTATTCAGGATTAAAGGCCACTAAAGAAACATAGCAACCGAATGCAAATGTGGGATCTGGCATGGGCTCCTAGGCCAGGAAAAAAATAAAAGTTTTTCTTTTGCAATAAAGGACATTAATGAAACAACTGGTCAGTATAAATAACGTCTATGAATTAGATAGCAGAGTTACATCAGTGATGATTTTGACCATTGTTCTATGACTATTAGAAAAAATGCTTATGTTTAGAAATACTTGAAGTATTTAGGATAAAGGGGAATCACATCTGCTACTTACTCTCAAACAGTTCTCTCTCTCTCTCTCTCTCTCTCTCTCTCTCTCTCTCTCTTTCTCTCTCTCTCACACACACACACAAATATTTATGGAGAGAGGGAGAGAGAGACAGGAAGTCATGATGGCAAAATGTTAACATCTGGGGAATTTGGGTGAAGAAATAATGAAACTCTTTACACTACTTTTGTTAAGTCTAAAATTATTTTAGAGTAAAAGGTTAGATCAATTTTTAAAAGGAATATTACATTTAAAGCAATGTTATACCCTTTTGTTGTTATTATTTTTAAACTTAGGAATAAGACCTTTTAAAGGTTAATTTTTTGAAAGGCTTAAATGTTAGGAAAATAGGTTTCTACTGTACCGGGTTTTTCTTAAATAATGCACTCCTCTAGACTCAGTTATTCGCCCTTCAGTGTCTATGAAATATTTTCTCTCCTTTCAGAAATCCAGCTGAGTTACATGCCGACAAAACAGTATATATAAAGTTACTCCATGGTCCTGTTTACCCATCACCCCTGATCGTGAATTAGAGTATTAAAAAAAAAATGCTTCCATGTTAATCCTTTTACCCCTACTCCCACCCCAAATGGCACCTGGTGGGGACAGGGTCACTCTAGGGAGGCATATTGGAGACATCATGAGAGTTGGCTTCAGATGGCCTTAATTAAAGTCCCCCAAACTAATGAGTTATGTTTCTTTGAGTAATTAACCTAATCTGCATGATCATTGTTTTTTCCATATGTAAAATGGGCTAAAGTGATACTTGTTCAGGGAGTTAACTGGTATAAGTTTCTACAACTGTTGAGAGGCCCAATTAAAAGGACATGTGAAATACCTTGGAAAATGCTCCAGAGACTTTGGTTGTTATTGTTGATGGAATCKGTACAAATCTGAAGCCAGGGTGAGGAGTGTATCTTCAGGGGCCTCTTTCTAATTACTATCTGAGCCACTTGGCATAGTGTCTATGACACTGACCACGAGGACAATCTGATTCAGTCACTTTCCAGTRCCTTGAGTTGATATTTTTTTAAAAGTTACCATTTCACTAATGGAGTACTTACCATATTCTAAACTCTTCAAGTMCTGATTTTAGATGGGGAAACTAAAGCTCAGCCAGACCACATGGCTTGATGTAGGATACTAAGCTACTAGGTGGCACCTTCTGAACTTGAGTCCAAGTCTCTATGCCTCTAGAGCCTGAGCTCCTTCCACTGTATTACTCTGGGTCTCTGATGGTCTATCAATGGAAGTCATCAAAACATGTGAGAAATGAGCTCAACCCAGTAATTTTGCCCAACGAAAAAAATACCAAAGAGGGTGACATCGGATCCACGGAAAACTGGGTTCCAACTGAGCATGGCACTGTCCACGTTCCAAATAGTCCACCATCTAGACATCCACCCCAGCCAAATAAGACCGAGTTTGAGTCCTGGGACTTAACCAAAGGGGTGTCTACAAGGCAGGAAGAGTTGGCCGGTTTCTTACCCATGTTTCAAACATATCTTCTGGGCGCAGRCGACGGAGAGTAGGTCTGAAAAAAAGGAGGAGCTTCCTTGAGGAGAGATCGCCATATTGGAGACCAGCCTCTGCCCCACCGGGTGTGGATGAGATAGGATGCAGAGCCCTGCACCCCTCTCTGCCCAGGAAAGCACAGCTGCTCTACCCTGCTGCGTGGGACTCGGAGCTGGGTCTCCGTCCCTCAGCCTCTTCCTAGGCCCATTTGATCCAAGGCGTGTAAAGCCTACTACAAACAATGGGTCAGAGGCTTCAGGGGCCATTCATACCCAGGACAAGAAGCATTTCCCTCCTGACTGACAGCTCCACTCCTGAGAGCCCAGAACGGGCCCAGAAGGAGGAAGCTGGAGAGAAAAAAACAGGAAGTTTGGGGGGTCCCAGCCCAGAACCTGCCATGGTTTTATCAGAGTTCATCCATCAAAAGCTCCTGAGGAATCTTTGAGGGGAAAAGGCAGGATCTACATTTGCTCACAGTTTCATTTCTTTCTGAAGGTTGGCAAATAGTGCTAGACTTATTAATATTTGTTCCTCTAAGTGCTGCCTCCCTACAGAGCCTAGGACTATCCAGGCCCTGGGATCATGATTCTCCAGGTTCAATGGACACACTTTTGCATGTGTGGGGCAGGAAGGATGGGTGAGGCAGTGAACCCACTGACATGGTCCATGTTCCAGTATTGTCTGTCCACCAAGAGCACAGTCAGCCAACTACAGCTGGTGGGCCCAATCAGCCAGAGACTCTTGTTTTTGTAAACAAACTTTGATGGGCACATGGCCACATCCCTGTGTTTATACATGGTCTATGGATGCTTTCGTGCTACRGGGGCAGAGTTGAACCGCTTCAAGACAGGCCATCTGGCCCACGGAACCTGGAATATTTACTAGCTGTTCCTTTAGGGAAAAAGTTTGTTGATCTCTGCTAGAGCTACTCTAAGTGGTATCAAATATTCCTCTCCCAGAAGTTGTATGTATAGAATGTTTATCCTTGACTCGTTATTTAGATACTCTGAGTCTTATTCCYTGGTCTGCCAAAAACTGGGATAATAATGATCACCTCGTAATATTGGAGATGAGATCAAGTAGCTCCCGTAAAGCACCCAGCATGGTGCTTGGCACAGGGGAAGTTTTCACTAAAGAGATATGGTTATTAGGGTAGAATTTTACTTATATTTTAGGATGGCTTTGAGGGGGCTTGCTGGTGAGGGAAGGCAGTCTGACCTACGTTCAAGGACAGGCCTGTATTCATCAATAGTAACTGATGGGTGTAATGCTGCTGGTTATCAACAACTAACAAAGCCATACTACTGAGTTCTCTTCTGCTAAGGAACTTACTCTAGGTTGCTGCTCTTGTGGGTCTGAGAGGTTCTTCCTAATTCCCCAGCCCCCCCCCCACTCTCCCCATCTGCCGTCTTTGGCACCTTTGGTGTTCCTTCACAAACTCCACAATCTCATCTTCTGTGTGAGGTTTGTTGGGGATGGTCACGGGCTCGTCCATAAACGGCTCGTAGAAATCGACCTCATTCATCTTCAAGGACAATTTCTTTGCAACCTGTAACACCAACAAGACAATAGTTTAGTTTGTGTGTTTGGATGGGGATTCCAGAGTAGCAGCGGGTGGCCCATCCGACAGAAGGGTTCATATTCTCTGATGAAGACAGGAGGGCGTACGTGCAGTTTTAACCCGAAGGTCGGAACCACGGGACCTCATCTCAAGTGGCCCAGGCTGGACCAATCTCCTTCTGTGATCAAAGAGGCAAATGAAGGTCAAGCAGGGGCAGGGCAGAGTTGGAATGCAAAGTAGGAAAGTTAACTGTGTAATCACCATCTCTCTTGTGCATTTGCCAGTGCTTGGAGGAGGAAGGAAATGTCAATGGAGCACGTTTAATACACTGGGTTGTATGGATTCAATTGAACCCATTTTGATGAAACAGGTAATTGATGGAAACTGTTAAAGCATACAAGYACACAGAATCAAGAGTCAATCCATTAATCTGTCCTGAACCAGCTCTTGCACCCTAACCTCTCTTTAGGTGGAAGCTCGGGCCCTAGGATTCAGTCTCTCAGTACCAGCCTGGCCTGGTTTGGCAGGCTCTGGGAACTGCCCAGCCTATTAACCAACAGTTGTAAAGTGACCATTCATCCTGCTTTGTTCAAGGCAGAGGGGTTTCTTGGGATGTGGGAATCTCAGTGCTAAAATCTGGACAGTTCCCAGGAACCCAGGATGATGAGTGGCTCACCCTCTAATAGATAAAAAGCTTGGGGGCCGAGGCCTTAACCTGGAACACATTTTCCCTCTTGATTAAAGTGGCTACATGTCTGTGTTTGCCTGCAAAGCCACTGAACTCAGGCTCTTTCTTTGTGACATGATTTGAGAGGCCTGGAATGTGCAGTGCTCAATAGAAAACCCATGCCATTCTTTTCTAGCTCAGAGCTTCCGTCCAAAAAAGTGCTGGGATGAACAGTGGTTCCCTTGAAACGACAGAGGAATTGCCTAAGAGCTGACGCCCTGTGGTGGTAACCACAGTGCAGTGACCCAGTGACCCCGGGGGGGGGGGGGCTGTGACTAATTGGGGAGGGGGAGGAACTGGGTGTGACATAAGCTCTTACACAAGGAGGTCCATTCTGAGGAAACACTTAGTTTCCTATGGCTTTTGTCATCAGTTGCTGTTAATTCCAGGTCACTATATCCCAAAAGATATTTCTGATAGTACTGAGGGAAAGAAATCCCAGCAGCCTATCCAGAGTTAAAGAAAACAGGCCACGTGAAGAGTAAGAACATACAGTCTGCAGTCTTATTGTCATGCTGATTTTATTTTCAGAGAGAGAGAAATGTGGGGTTTCCCTTACTTTCTTCCATCTCTTTGTCGGGGTGAGTATGCAGTGTGGGTGAGGAGGTGGGTCAGGCAGGAATTCATGGAGGAGAGGAAGARCAAACATACCACCAGAGTCTGGGTTTACTAACAATTCTTTGTTTGGGAAGGGGTGCATTCTATTTATTAGACATCAGGCATGAGCTCCAGCCCACAWTCAAGGAGAAGGGTATGAAAACTAGGGGTTGGGGCCCTGCCCTGGGGGGCTGAGATGGCTAGGTATTTCTGCCCCTGCACACACACGCTTCTCTGCAAAGCTGGATCTAAGTTAGAATGAACTTGCAAAATGACCTTGGATTCTGGTTTCTTTGAGATGACTGGATATGTTTTCTAGGAACCAAGAACCTGGGCTTCTCTGAAACAGGAAGCCRTTGGGAGAACAAAAGGGGTGATAGCAAACACATGGAGTGCTTACTCTCGGTCAGGCAAAGTGTTTCAGGTGGATTACTTCATTTAGTCCCCATTTTGTATGAGATAAAGACTGCTTGTAACTGTTTTATTTTACAAATGAGAAACCTGAGGCACGATTTGGGTTACCACTTCATGAGGATCACATATCTGGTGATGTGAGAGTTAGAATTCAGAATTTGAAAACATCAGTGAAGCACTGCAAACCTCTAGCTGGCCTTCCATCCATTTGAAAATAACCTGCTCTTGATGGCATCAGGGAAGGATATAAATGTCTCCCTATAAACATTACGTTGGTGCTGCACATGTTTTMTTGAGATGTTTCTTTGTCTTCCTTGTCATATGTTCTCATCAATTCACTCCCTTGATGATCTGCTATATTTCTGGCTTCCTGACAGTGGTAGAGAGCTGGTCAGAACCACCGTCAAGGCAAGCAGAATGGGCATTCCTGCATGTGAGTGTGTGAGTGTGTGTGTGTGTGTGTGTGTGTGTGTGTGTGTGTGATGGTGGTGGTGGGGGAGGTGGCCTTTTGCCAAGTGTGTGTGTGGGATGGTGGTGGGGGTGGTATCTGAGTGTTAAGACTACGAATGTAAAATTGAATCGTCACATTCTTAGCTGGAATACTGGGAAATCTGAGTAAAAATTTCCAGAAGTTCTGTTATGATTTAGATATAAGGTGTCCCCCCAAAAAAAGCTCAGCTATGAAACAATGCAAGAAATCTTAGAAGTGAAATGACTGGGTTGTGAGAGCCTTCAACTAAATCAGTGCATTAAGCCACTGATAGGGATTCACTTGGCGGTAACTGAAGCAGGGAGGGTGTGGCTGGAGGAGGTGGGTCATTGGGCGGTGTGCCTTTGGAGTATATATTCTGTCCCTGGAGTGGAGGGATCCTTCCCTCTCTCCCTCTCTCTCTCTCTCTCTCTCTCTCTCTCTCTCTCTCTCTCTCTCTCTCTCTCTCTCCTTCCTGGTGCCATGTCCTCAGCTGCTATCCTCTGCCACACATTTCCACCATGATGTTCTGCCTCATATCAGGTCCCAAAGAATGGAGTTGGCCATCTATGCACTGAGACYTCTGAAACCCTGAGCCCCCAGATAAACTTTTCCTCCTTAAAACTGTTCACGTSGGATCCTTTGGTCACAGCGGTGAGAAATCTGAGTAAAACAAGGTTCTTCACTCTCTTCCCTCCACCCTCAGGGAGTGCCCTCATCTTGTCTCCCAGAAGATCCTTTTCCCTCATTCTTAAAATCRTGCCTTGGGTGACAAGGACTGAAGGAGGTTTGACTGACCGAAGCATTTATTCATTTATTTCATCAATAAAYATTTAGTGGAGTCTCCTGTATCCAAGGCATGGGTCTAGGAACAGAGCCTGCTGCAGGGGCATTGCAATTAAATAAGAATGTTTTCTACTATTAAAAGTCAAGTTGGGTCTACAACACTGAGAAAAACTGATTCCTGCCCCTATAGAATTTAGATTTTAGTGTGGGAGAGAAGATGGAAAGACAGAAAGTAAATAARTGAATAAACTGAAACCTTTACCACGAGTTGAAGAACTGTAGGGACAGGGACATGTCAAAGGTGGTCATGTAGATGTGGGGAGTCAGTMGTCCCTAACCATTGTCAATATTGGTATTCGCCCAGTAGCTTTTGAAAGTAAGATCTGTGACATCACTCCTGGAACTGGGTTGTGACAGGGCCCAGGAATCTGCATTATCAGCTACCTTCCCGGGGACTTTAACCAGGTGCCCAGGTTTGGGACCTACAGTGCCCGTTGGTTCCCCGTGACGGATGCAGTAGCCTCCGTGTTCTATGTGGAGAAAACGMGTCTCCTTTTAAATGTTATGAAATCCCACATGAACAGTGGTGCTTATGATTCAGTGTCTGTCGGGAGTTTTTTGAGAAGCTTTTTTAAAAGAAGGTTTTGGAGTTTTTAATTATAGCCTGACCTCACCTTCTTTACAGGCCACAGATGTGAAACCATCCAGAGGGACTGGGAAGCACTTCTGAAAACAAATACTACCCTGAGCTCAGAATGGAACCACCCCTCCAAAAAAACTAGGGCTTTGTTGCCTGACTCTCTTCCCTTCAGATGGGTTTCTAACCAGCAGCCCCTCAGCCACGCCTGGCCTGTCAGAATTGAATGCCAGACAGGGACTCAGCCTGGGCTTCTGCGTTCCTTCTTCTCTAAGTTCCCATCCCAACCTCTCGTCATCCTGGGCCTAGATGTCCACTGTCCTATTAATAACATTCTGGCTAACACTGACTGAATATTTACTACATGCCCAACACCAGTTAGCATTTTACCAAGGCTGCTGCTTGCTATAGAGTCTGGGAGTAGAGRAACTACATCAGGCTTCACCATTCTCAACTATGTCACCAAATCGCTTAATCTCTCTTTGCCTCAGCTTCATCCTYGATGGAATACTTATTCTTTTCTTACAGGTCTAATGAGAGACTGGAATAAGAAAGTCCACAAGAAGCTCTTAGCACAGAGCCAAGCACATAGCAAGTACTTAATAAGCAATACTTGTTACTGTTTGGGTGTCSTTGCTTAAGATCTCTTCCAACTCTAAAATATGATCAAGTACTGTACACTTGCTTAGGTTTAGGTCACATTACATAGATTATAGACTTTTCTCCTGAATTTTAGGCTTAAAGACAGGGGCCACATCCACAGAGGAGGATATAAAACAGAAATGTGATCTCTTTATTGTGCCCATTCCCTAATCCAGCATCTACTGGCCCTGGTTTCCCTTATTTTTTGAGAATATTTGAGTCCATCATGACATAAAGGCCCATGAGCACTGCCCACCAACTACCTTACTCCTCAGGAGGCCACTCTGATTAACTTTTATGTGAGTTTGATCTTAAATTTAGTTTGTCTTAGATTTTCTTGTTCTAGTAAATATGTTAGTTTATGGTTTTCCGTTGGGATGTGTGTGTGTGAGTGTTTTCTCTCTGTGTGATGTGTGTGTTATGTATATGTGCATCATGTGTTGTGTGTGTTCGTGCATCCTGAATCTTAAGGGCAGGTATAGGATCTTCTATTTAATGTCATGATATAGGAGAGAAGACATAGGTTTGGGGCACAGATTGTCCTAAATTGGATCTCAGTACTACCATTAATTCTCTGAAGACTTTAGATGCTACCTAATTTTTTATAGAGAGATAGATATTTTTAGTTGTAGGTGGACASAATGCCTTTATTTTATTTATTTATTTTTTATGTGGTGCTGAGGATCGAACCCAGTGCCTCACACATGCTAGGCAAGCGCTTTTCCACTGAGCTATAGCCCCAGCCCTACTACCTAATCTTTCTAAGTCTCTTTTCTCTGAGAAGTAGGAGTCTTACCTTTCAAGGTGGTTTAAAGGATTAGAGATCATATAGATGAAATACAGCCAACCCTCAGTACCTGATGGGGGATGGTTCTCTGGGACCTTCAAGGACACCAAAATCTCTAGATGCTCTGGTCCCTTTGATTGAATGGCATGTTATTTGCTTATGATCTAGTAACATCTTCTGATAGTTTAACTCATTTCTAGGCTACTTATAATACCTAATATGATATAAATGCTATGTAAATAGGTGTCAAACTGTATCATTTAGGAAATAATTACAAGAAAAAAGTTGACACATATTYGGTTCAAACGGGTTCCCCCAGCCCCCAATTATTTTCTACCTGAAGTTGGTTGAATCCTTGGATGCAGAACCCAYAGATACAGAGTTGAATTTATATAAAACTTGCCAAACTCAGGAAAACACTCAATAAGTAGTGGTCATAACAGTAGTTATGAGAACCAGAGGGGAGTACTCTGATTGTAATAGACCCCAAATAAACTACCCATTGATTTAAGGTCTATTGGTCTCTGCTGTTGTGTGGCTTATAAAATTGCATGTCACAACCAGCCAGAAAAAGCAACTGGRTTATAGAAAATTACATCAACGACATCTCCTGAAGGTAACTTTCTAAAGCACCAGAGCTTCATGTGGTCAGTGTTCCTCCCCATTTAATTCCCCACTTTAACTCAGCAGAAGAGGTCATGTGCAACCCCAGGAAGGGAGAGGAACAGGAAAAGGATGGCTAGTGCCCTGCACACTCTGGGGTCACCTGCTTCCCATTCTTAGTGCATGGGAAATTAAGGGGTGGCCCTCACCTTTCAYTGGCTGGGTTTAGAAATATGCTTACATCCTCTGAATTAATCATGTTTGCATTCATCTCTCAATCAATACCGAAACAAAACTTCTAACTCTTATGGAGAAAGAGGCAAAGGAAGACGGTTCAGGTTGCCAAGAAAAAAAAAAAAAAGAAAAAAGAAAAAGTGATAGAAAATTCAGTCTTTAATTCTTCTTGTGTTTAACCGGGGGAGGGGGGGTTCATAGGTACTCACCCCTTTGTCAAAGGTGGCAAAAAACTTGATATAAGGCTGAAAGTGTTCAGCTGCCTCTTCAAAAGCCTTGTAATCTAGGAGAGAAAAAAAAAACAATCAAAAGAGACAAATATTTTCAAGAAGAACTGCAACTTCTATTTCTTCTTTTCAGTGCTTTGGTTGGCACCCAGGGCCTTTGTGTGCTAGGCAAGCACTCTACCACTGAGCTGCGGCCCCAATCCCACATTTCTTTTTAAATAATGTAGAGAGAGTACAAAGTCATGAATCCTGATTGAATAATTATTTAACAGGTATTATTTAGATAGCTAGTTACTGAGTGCTATCTAAACCCATATTTTCTCCAATATGTTTGAATTGACTGGCACTCAATTGCCAAAGAAAAGGTCTCTTCACCATACTATAAAGAAGATTTTTGGATGGAAAGCAGGAAACAGGAAAGAGAGGGAAAAGTGAGATAAAAAAAAAAAAACATGTAAAAGTCAAAAGAAAGTCCACACTTGAAGAGCTGTTAGTTATGCATTGACTAGACAGAGTACAGTTAGCTATATATAAATGAGCCCTGATAAAAAGGAAATTCACCTAAGTGATGTAATCTCAATCAAAAATGTCATCACACAAGGTATTTTAAACTTCTTAAAGCGGGAGTATAGGTTTCGGTTGAGTTTTAACTTTCTTTCCTTTTATTTTTATTATTTTTTAAAGTTTTCTTTTTTCTCCCTCCTATCATTTTTGAGAGAATTATTTAAATTTAATCAAGCCTCTGCTTGACTCTGGTCCTAAAYTTGAGTCCAAACTGGTCAAGGTAGGCATGCATGCCCATGTGATGTGGGGATGCTGTGCCCTGGTACAACGAGGCAGGTACTCGGTAAAGATACCCACACTGGAGTCTTAGATGTGTGGGTGATGATAACGGCAGTGGCAATGGTTGTTCCAAATAAATTTAATAATCCTGAGACTCCCTGAGTTTATGATTTATTCTTCACAAGATTAACTTTCTTCCATTTCATGGAATTCCRTATCCTTTATCCATCAGGAGTGTAGCTTTTGATAGGATTCTGGGACCGTGCAGGATTTTTAAAGATCCTATCAAAAAATATTTTGAGAATAATGCTGGTTTAAGGGGGGATATGAAGATGAGTTTTTTTTTTTTTTTTAAAAAAAAAAAAAGACTGATCTTAAAAGCCCCAGGGAGGGCTATGGATGCTTTAAAGAATTGCGGTGCAGGGTGACAGCTGCTCTAATGGAGATGACAGCCGCATGCACAGGAGACGGGGCTGAAGATTTGCAAGAACACTGGTACTGATGATACGATCCAACCCCATCCCCCACAGTAAAGGGAAGTCAGGAAAGATGCCCTGCAGCCTGATAACTGGATTAGAGGTTTGGGTTCAGGGGGAGAGAACAGGTGAGGGCATTTGAAGAATGAGGAGACAGATAGGGAGGGCACCTTAAGAATCYCCTGTTCCCACTTCCCTAGGGTTCCCAGTGAGTCTCTCAAACTCAGACTCTGATGGAAAGGATTTACTGGTCCTGTGTCAGGAGCCTCTTCTCTTGGAGATCCAACGGGCTCTGGGATGAAGGATGGAGCAAGGTGACTCGCCAGGTTGGTGATTCAAAMTGTGGTTGAACTTTTAGCACTTGTCTTCCAGAACACCTGGTCTTCTTGTGTGCTCTGTCCAGGGTCCAATAATCCTGAACATTCATCCCTCAACCTCTAGCTTACCGAAGACTTAGGGTTCCCTCATGTCCCCCTTCTCTCAGGGTTTTTTCACACTGGGATATTAGTATATCAGACTTGAGTAGCTGGGTGTGGCTAATTGCACCAGTTAGAAACCTTGAAGAGAGATGCTTGAGATAACATCTTTTGTCTTATAAAGAAGAATCAAACCATGTTTTGAGGCATGAAATACTCAAAAGGGTAGACGAATGCCATCTCAACATATTTTGGGAAACTTCTAGTTTGTTCACTGTTGAGAGCCACAGCCAAAGGGGCCCCAGCAAACTTCCAGCTGCCGGCTGATGATTGGCTCACAGTGGCCCCAGCAACATCTAGCTGATTGGCTCCTCCATGGAGCTGCTCATTGGGCTGTTTCCCTGCCCTTTCAGACCACGGAGCTGCTCATTGGGGGACTTCTTTGGCTCCGCTCACGCGACCCAGCCAATCGGCCTCAAGAGCAGGAGGATTGTGGGAGGTGGGGAGTTTGGTGTGGGTGAGAGGCTTGTGGGAAGCCGGTGGTGGCAGTTGGGCTCTGAGGGTTTTTTCCTGAGGAGCTGTTTTGTTTGTCGTGTGTAGTTCTAAAAATAAAGTTAGTTTCTTTTGACAAGTGGCTCCTGAATTGTGCCCAGCCAGACTGCGGCAGTTCACTAATGATGCAACTACAGCAACGAGAAGGTGTTAAGGCTTACACATAGTTCTTTCTGAGGATCTGGAGAATCTGTGACATTYGTTCACAGAAAAGCTCTGTCATATAAAGCTTTGCCTAGGAGTCTGAACTGCACATAAAATGAGAAGGTGCCTCCCTGGGCATGGTGGTGCACCCCTGTAATCCCAGCAACTTGGGAGGTTGATGCAGAAGGATCTCAAGTTCAAAGCCAGCCTCAGAAATTTAACAAGGTCCTAATCAACTTAGTGAGACCCTGTCTCAAAAAAAATAAAAGTAAATTAAAAAAAAGAAGGTGACTTAACATCCAAACCAATTAAACCCTCCTGTTTTAGCTTTTGGTAAAGAAGCAGGTTCAGAACCCCCCACTTGCTCTGTATCACAGTGATGCAGACTAACTCTCCAAGGAGAATCTTAAGAGTTTATCAGCAAAGACATGAATTAAAAACTAAATTGTGAACTGTGCTCACTTTGGAAAAATTTTGGAGGATAATCATTGACTTTGAAAAAYACTGAATCTTGCAGAGCATTTTACTGAACTTAATTAAAAATATGCCCATGTGAAACATATAATGTACTGAAAATGTTTAGCAATACTGAAGTAATAATTCCACTTAAAAAAGGAAATAAAAAATGGCCTACTAGTAGTTTTATTATTTAGATTTTAAGAATGATTATAAAGACCAGGAAAATAGTATCTATAAATTCCTAAGAAAAAGCTTTATTATTATTTCAAAATATACAATATGATGTAAAAGGATTCCAATCAAATCATCACAAGAAATATGAACATTATATTTGTCAATKAAAAGCAGAGTCATAGCTGTCAAATTGAATGGATGCTCTGAGATTGAATTATTATTATTAATTATTAATGATCTGAACTATGACCAAAGGCAAGAAAGAATTTTCATCAGTTAAAGAAAAAGCAATGAATGCTGTCCAGTCATTGGCCACCATTTATATGTGTGAGCAAATCTCTTATCAGTGGTGACTATCAAGAATTTGAAGAGCTCTTCACTAAAAACCTTGGTCAGGAGTTACATGCTGCTACTTCAAGCATAATGCTTGATATCAAAAGGCTTCATGCTTGGAAACAAGCTCAAGATTCTTATTCAAATTCTAAAAATTACTTTATCTGAAAAATTTTTACAGTGTGATATGGTGATGTGTTTCCTATTTTACCTTCTACCATTATTATATAAAATAAAGAAAGTAAACTCCTTTTTTTTTTTACTAAGCCCCAATCCCTTCCAGTTTACCCTCATTCTGTGCTTTTAAGCATTATCATATTTTTGGTATGCCATGACCTTGGAGTCTCAAAAGTATAACCCAGTAGTTCTAGTAACTCTAAAGTTCTGGAATTAGAATCATGGTTCCACCATCTACTGGCTGCATGATCCTGGTTGAGTTCATTGACTCTTTATGCTCCACCCCTTCCTCATYATTAAAATGCAGATACAGTGATAACTACCTCACCAACTTATGGTGATGATGAAATTCTCCGTATGAAGCTCCTAGCTCAGGCCCTGGACTAGGATAGGTGTTAATTAAATGGAGCTATTAGGATTATTAGCTCAGAGGAAGAAAGGTAGGAAAGGTGCTCCTCATGCTTAGCTTTACCTTTGACCTTACCAGCCACCTGAGCTCAATGGACAAGGAGAGAAACATAGGGTGGAAACAATGAAGAGGGAAGGACCGAACAGCAAATGGGAAAGAGAAGGAAATTATACAAAGAGGAGAAAGTAGAAGGGGACGGGAGAAGCTTCTTGGAGCAGTCAGTGCCCAAAGGACTGGGGTGAAATTCTCTGGCTAGCACTGTCCCTGAATGCAYCCCTTTTGAGCCCTGGGAATGGAGGTTTTCAATGAAGCGAGTGAGAAGAGGGTTAAGTTGGGGCATGGAAGAGAGAAAACAGGTGGGTTGTTGTTGATGAGGTGTCTGAGGGTGCCAGTGGGCAGACTGAGTAAAGACACAGCTTTGCAAATAATTTYAAAATATTTGGAGGTTTCCAGAAATAGTCAGAAGCAGACCATATTTGCACCTCCTACTTGTACTAGGCTACCAAATTCTCTCATCCTTATCCCCACCTGCTCTCAATTTTCCTCTCTCCAAGGCTGAGACACAAGGAGAAGGCTCAGTTCATTGGGTCCAGACTGCCAAAGCAATTTTTATAAAAAAAATGCACTCAATAGTTGCCCTTCCTGCCTTTCTGGTCCCTTCCTCCTGGTCTGCCTGACTCCCACCCACCAACATCTCAACCTTGAATGGGCTGTGGTGATGCTCTGCTCAGTTCCTGTGCCCACCCCAAACCTGGCCACAAAGCCTTCAGAAGGAATATGCCCAAGGGTGTGGTGGCACTGGATCTGGCAGCCTGGTCATCAGCTGTGGGTTTGACCAGCAGTTTCCACAGTCGGTAGCAGCTGCTAAGCCCATCCCCATCCAAATTTTCCTCTAATTCTTTCTCAGTTGACTGAGAAGCTCTCCAACTGGTGACCACAAGAACTACCAGCATCAGGGAGATGACATACGGTGTGTCCCAATTTAGAGGAGAATCCAACTGAAAGGTGGATGGGTAGGAAAGTGGAGGACAGGGGCTTTCTCCTTGCGGAGAGAAAGGCCAGAGATCATGGCCAGAGAACATGGCCCYACCTAAACGTTCTTCCCCTGCACAGGGAAGAGGAGGGATCCTCACCACTATCCTGCCCAGCAAAAGAGATGCTGAAGACGCATCCTCCATTAAGATAATCTAACGTCCTTGCTGGGAAGCTGGCCTTTAGACTCGCAGGCAGGGGTGGACGGAACTTACATTCTGAGTCTTCACTCTTGAAAAAGCCAAGGAGTTTGATCTGGTCCTCGAGGCGTTCGAAGGCCTGGACTTCCAGCTTGGTATTGATGATCTCCACCGGGTCTTCGATCACCTGAGATGCCACACACACACACACACACACACACACACACACACACACACAATGAGATGATCGTTCTGGGGGCCATTCTTTTCCTATTGCCATTTTTAAATATATATATATATATATTTAACAGTAAATTGACAAATTGTGATTGTATATATGTGTGGGGTTATGAAATGATGTTATGAATTACGGATATGATGCCAAATAATTAAATCAAGCTAATTAAAATAAGCACCACCTCATATRTTTGTCTCATCCCAAAAAGTGACGAGAACATTTGAAATTTAGTGATTTTTTAAATGTACAACCTGTTCCTATTTACTGTACTTGCCATGCTATGCAACGCATCTCACAGGGAAAAAAAAATCTTACTCCTTCTGTCTGATCAAGGCTTGGCCCCATTTGATCATCTTCCYATTCCCCGCCCCCACTGGAGTCTCTGGCACCATTAGGCTACTCTCTGCTTCTTTTTCGTTCAATGGCTTTCAGCTCCACATATAAGCAAGAACATGCAATATTTGTCTCTGGGGGTCTGGCTTCTTTCACTCAGCWTAATGGTCTCCAGTTCCATCCATATTGTTGCAAATAACAAATTCTCTTTTTCTAAAGCTAGATAGTACTTTATTGTGTAGAGGCACTACATTTTATCTATTCATGAATTGACGGACACTTGGGTTCCTGCCATCACTTCACTTGCCCCTTATTGATTCATGAACGGACATGTGGCCTATTTCTGGCCCAACGAGGCTCTGGGAAAGTTTGGGATTCTTAAGGGAACAATGAGAAGCCAGAGTTGGGGTTTTTCTCTCATGGATATGAATGAGGAAACATCAGCTCCTGCTTCCGGCCACCTTATAATTAACTTGAGAATAGTCAGCTGGGGACCAAGGCCAGATTCTGAAAGCAGAATTATCTGTGATTTACAGAGCTAGAACCTCGACTGGATAAAGTCTGCCCTAACTCTGACTTTCTACCTATGTTGGTCAATCACATGGCTTATTGTTTGAAGCAGGTAGAGACTCATTTGCAAAGCCCCATCCTCATTGATAAAGCTGCAGGGGCAAGGGACACCWTAGTGGTCCAGAGTTATTATTATGCTATTTCTCTCAACTTTTTCAGGGCTTATAGGTGTGACATCAAGATGGCAGAGAGAGAACAGGTCAGAACTGAGTTGCAGACTGTGGACGGGAAGCAATAAACCACGGGATGCCATCTGGTAGACCAGGAATGATCAGTATGGACAGAGGTTCAACGGTAGGTCCTTTATCTTGCGGAATTTGTGTTCCAAAGCATTTAGCTCCACGGCTGGTATGGAAAATGTGAGTTTATCTATGAGTAAAATATTTTTATAGCTTTTGCTCCGGTTTCTCTGAGCTTATGGATCTGAGGTTGTAGTACCTCTTCTGCTGGGAGTGAGTGTGATTTTGGGGGGCTCTTGAGTGCTCCCTGCCTCTCCTTGATGCTGTTCTGAGGAAACTTGGGACAGCTCAGCCTTTTGGTCCCTCCTCTCTCTTCCAGTGACAGGTTTYCCACTCTCTCCCATAATCCCCAGCTCCTCCTCAGCAGCACTGGAGCCCAGCTGAGGGAATTTCAGTGGACGTCAATGTCTACTGGTAAGAAAACCCTTGTGTGACTACTGCATGGTCCCCATCTGTGACCCTTTCATCACAGATTTAGGGGCCAGATCCCAGGAAAAGTAGTTAGCACGGGGATCGAATTGTTCCTTAGTTTTTTTTGTGAAGCCTGAGAAACCTGTCTTCTCACCATCTCCTGTTCTTCCGTGTGCCTTTACCTCCCTCCATGCAAGACCACTGTGCATAAATGCTCACATCCAAAAGAAACTCCACCAAGACATCAGCTGCAAACTCGCCATCAAACTCAATTGTGCGATCCCCCTTGAGAATGTACAGGCTTCCCTCTTCATTGAAACCTGGAAGATACAAAGAGGTCCAAGAATAAGGTCGTTCTGATGCAGGAAGAGTCACCACATTGGCCCTGAGTGGCAGCAGGATTGGGATTAGTGGAAAATAGCCTTAACCCAAGGACAGGTCCTCTCAAAACAACCCATCTAAAGGGCTCTCAAAGTGGGCATAGTTTGAAATAGCCAAGAACGAACAATTGCATCTGTATTTTAACTTAAAAGAAAAAATCTATTCTCTATCCTACCACCATTTTTTAAAAACAAAACCAAACAAAAAACCACTGCTGGTCCCACATCATTCTCCTTATTGGAAAAATTTAACACACTACCCACCTCGCTCCTTAGCCTAGTGTTCAAGTCCCTCTGCCCCTGGGACAACCCTATGTCTTCCACCCTCCCTTGGCTACACCCTCTCCTTTGAGACCTGCTCTCTGGCCACTCTTATGGTTCCCTTTGCTTCCTGCCCACATGCTGAAATGACAGGCTGTGGAAAGSAAGAGTCCCAGAGCAGGGTTCTGGACATTTAGGTTCTCCTTGCTCCCAAGCCTGGGGTGACCTCCACGGGGCCACCCTCCACCCTGTCTTCATTAGCTCCTTCAGGTCTGAGCTGAGGACTCATTTTTTTTTTTTCCTGAGAACACCACTGCGATCTCACAGGGCTCATGCCATTATTGATCTTCCCTCAGCTCCATTTGCAGGTACTCACTTTAACAGGTTCTCTGAGGATAGGGTCATTGTCTTCTTGGTGTCGTAGCGATTTGCACAGAGCTATACACATTGATCGGTACTCCATAAATGCATGTGGACAGCCTGCATTTCTATTCTAACTGAAAGGCACGTCTTCCTTGCTCCACTGATAGATGAAAGCCAAGACGGCTCTACATCTTCTTTGCTACCCTCCAGTGCCCTTGGTGTACTGTTGTGTACTTCAACAAATGCTTGTTGAAAAACTGCATTTCCAGCCCCTCAGTGATGGTAAGTAGGTGAGGCTGGTATTTATTCCAATGGCAGAGCATCCCTAACTCCTTACATTAATTTTTTTCCAAATTCTCTATTAGTTGGAGAATGCTTTCTCCAAATGAGCTCTTCTGCCAAACCTCCAGGGGCAGGAAGACTGGATTGCTGAGGAACCCTTGGCATATCAGAGAGCGTTGTTCATCAATAAAAAGGAGCAATGTGCTAGGTATCCTTGAGACTGGCAATAGCTGATCTTGAAAGGGGCTACAGGGAACATCAGCCAGCGTCCTGCTGATGTTGTGTTTGAAAGAATGTCCAGTAAATTTAGCTAGAAGAAAATGCTAGTGTTCTAGCAATCTACAAATGTAGTTAGAACAAGCTGGGCAAGAGTGCATAAGAATAGAACAGCAAAAGACATGAAGGGGCTTGAAAGGTCTAAGTAAACTTTTTGTCCTGAGCAGAACCAGTTACCAAAGACCGGACTACGGCCAATGGAAGAGTGGTTGAGGATAAAAGGGCTCATTAACAAAGTGTGACCACATCCTGTGGACCCCAAGGATCAAACCATCAGAAGAAACCTCCTGCAATTCCCCCAAGGCGAGCTTGTTTTTAAATTTTGTATTTATTATTTATAGAGTTATTACAGTGCTGGGGATTAAAACCAGRGCCTTATGCATGCTAGGCAAGTGTTCTACCTCTCACTACCCCTCAGCCCTTCCTCGCTGAGCCTAGAAAACAGTTTACTTAGACAGACCAAGCCCTATCACAACTTTTGCTGTTTTTTTTTTTTTTTTTACTTACTAACTCTTGCCCATCTTGTCCTAACTGAATTTATAGATTGCTAGAATACGAGCAGTTTCTTCTAGCTAAATCTACCAATAATTCTCCCAAATGCAACATACTTATTAAAACAATGGCTAGGAGACAACTAGGACTCAGTCGCTACCAGGGGAAGAGGCAGAATTCATAAAATTGATTTTGATTCTAGGAAAACAGTTCAATGTATTTTGCTCCTATACTCAAGGAGAAAAAAAAAAAACTATTCCTTAATATTTTTCCAGGGAAAGAGATATCCTAGGCATTCTTCATAAGTCATTATCATTTTCTAGGCATGAGTTCTTCCTTGTGTCTGACCTAAGTAGTTTCCCATAATTTAAGTCTTTTCTAGAAAATAAAATAGAAAAAAAATTTGTTTTTTTGTAATTCTCCAGGATAACGAACTTTCATGTACCTGAACCACCACTAAGCTATTTTTTTTTCTTTCTGTGCTTACTACTCCAAATCCAATTAACCTTTCTTCAAAGGTCCTGTTTTATAACCTCCTGCTATTTTTTTTTAATAGCCATTYTTCACTGGTCATGCAGAAAATGCCAAATGGGCAGTACATGTGTGTGTGGCTGTTTGGAAACGAGAGGAGTTACCTATATCCTCTCTCCTTGGGATTGTAGAGTGAGAATCTTAAAGGGCACTTGCACTTAAGCATGACATATTGACATGAGAGATTATAGCTCCCACCTTGTAGTCACTTAACCGTACCTCCCCTAAATCCTCCTCCTCATCCTTGGTGATAATGTCCAGCTGGGGCTTGTCCTTAAATTTAGAAACCCCTGGGGCCCTGGAGTCACAGCCATCAACAGTATCTTTTGCTGGATGCTTTAGCCAAGAGGCAAGAAAATAGTAGCGATGGARTAAGAGAGCTGTAGCTTTCTCCAAGAGAGGGCGGAGAAGCCTTCAGCTATTTTAGGAGCTAGAAATAAAGGCTGGAGTCTTTAGAGTCAGTTTCTAAACCAGAAACCTTCTGTTAAACTGATAACAAAGATGCATTCAATGATTAATATGATGAGATTTAGTTTAGGCATAGATTTCCATGAGTTATGCAAGATCATTTTACATGTATTTAAAAATAGTCCAAGTTAGCATGTAAGGATAAATGCAACTATACTTTTTTTTTAATAGAATACACCTTTGTCTCTTCCTCGTATATCTCAAAAATCACACTTACCCAGTTTCTTGGCAAGCTTGGCTTCTTTCTTGGCATCCACCATCACAAAGCCTATATCCTTATGTTCCAGGACCTGGGCCACAAGCTAAGGGACAAATAAGAGGATAAGTGGGCTAAGKGAAGAGAGACGGTAGAAAATACCCCAGGATAATACTTCAACMTGTTGACAGGAGGGTTCTCCTCCAGACTTCTGCTATTCGGACCTATTTGAGCAGCGAAGGGACTCGATACTTGTCCCCGGGGAGGATGAGTCCGCAAAATGTTGAGAATCAAAGGCAGAAAATGAGAGGAACAGACCTATGATATAAGATTTGGGAGACTGTAACCACTGTCAGATACCCTTTTGTGTCATCAAGGTAGATACATTTTGAATTGGAAGAGAGGAGAATTAGAAAGGAAACAGAGTAACTGTACCCCCATGGATATCTGTTAAGGGGCCCTGAGCCCTTCCCCAGCTGCCAAATGAACCCAGGCAGGGGGATCATCAGCCCCAAAGATGAGGAGGTACAGCAATGAACTAGATGGACAGGTGGCTGGAAACTGCTCTGGGTAGACACCAGCACAGAAGACGACACCAAGTGCAGGACTGGCATAGAGTTAAKCTTCCTGAACCATAGACATAAGTATTGTGGGAGACTCAACTGACCAAGATCTAATTCTTGGCATCTAACTAAAATGGGGGTAGAATTGAGRTGAAGTTACCAGAGAGATCATGAAATACCAATACTATTTTCTTTTTGTGGTGGTGTTGGGAATTGAACCCAGGATCATGCGCATGACAGGCAAGTGCTGTACTACTGAGCTTCACCCTCCCCTCCCCCCGCCCCCGCAGGTCTTGACACTACTTTTTTAAAGGTAAGCTTAAAAAAAAGTCATTGATTAATATGCAATTGTAAGAAATAATGCAAAGAAATCTCTCATTCATTTTATCCAGTTTTCCCCTATAGTAAGATCTTATGAAACTGAGGTACAATCACACAACCTGGATTGAACATGGTTACAGTGAAGATATAGAAYATTTCCATCACCATAAGGACCTCTCTGTTGTCCTTCATAGTCATATCCACTGGCCCCTGCCCCATCTCCTGTTTAGCCCCTGGAAACCACTAATTAATCTGTTCTGCTCTTCTATAATTTTGTCATTTTCAAGAATGTTATGTAAATGAAATCTTAGAATACCTAAAGAGATTGTCTTCTTTCACTCAGCGTAGTTATCTAGAGGTTCGTATTGCTGCATGTATCAACAAGTTGTTGAGGAGAAATCCATGGTGTATGGGAACATTGTGTTTAACCATTCGCCCATGGAAGCTAGTCTGCATTTTTTCCAGTTATTGACTATTATTATATCGAAGAGAGTTGATATAAATATTTGTGTAAAGGTTTTTGAGTTAAATATTAGTTTTAAGTTCTCTGGGATAAATGACTAGGAGTAGATAGCCTGCGTTACATGGTGGTTTCACGTCTAGTTTTTACTGGAACTCTCAGATCGCTTTCTGGAGTGCTATTCTCATGAGCAATGCGTGAGTGATTCAGCTCCACATCCTTGGTAGCAGTTGGCGGTRTCACTATTTGTTTTATATTAGTCATTCTGATATGTGTGTAGTGATATTTCGTTGTGGTTTTAATTTGCATTTTTCTAATAGCTTATGATTTTGAACATTTTTCTCCAATATGCTTATTCACCTTATGTATGCTGTCTTCTCTGAAATACCTGATCATGTGTTTTGCCCATTTTTGAATTGGTTTGTTTTTGGGCTTGCTTTTAGGGTTCTTAAATATTTGCTCTTTTTTTTTTTCCTGATAGGTGGTTTATCAATATCTTCTCCCACTTGTCTTTTTATCTTCTTCACCAGGATCTTTCACAGAAAGGCTTCAATTCTGCTGCATTTTGATCTATCTATGTTTCCACTTATAAGTTGGGCTTTGGGTGTTCTTGTCTTCTCCGCATATTAACCCTGGGGTGACAACTCACTCTCTATGTCCCTCTGCTCTGTGACTGCTCTTTCATTTCCCGTTTCATTCCCACGTCTTCTTTCACTGAGCCTGGCACCTCCTCCCTGGAGTTTCCTCTCCTGAGTTTCCTTAGGTCTTTCCTTACCTCTCTGTGCTTCCTTCCCTCACCTTCTCACCTGATCCCCACTCCTTTTCCTTATCTCTGGCTCCTAACCATTCCTTTCTCTCTAAGGTTAAGGTTGCATGACAGGGTGCAGAGAAGCACTCTGAAGAGCACCCTCCTGAAAGTGGAGGGAGGGATGGAGGGGCAGACAACAAACGACATCCCTGCCCCTCATGTAGTTTTCTCTTCTGTCTTGGGTTTTGGCTGGGACCCTAGAAGCTTAGTATGAAAGGGCTCRTGTCAGTCTCTTGCAGTGCCTAAACAGGTGCATTCTTTGTAAAGTCCCTGGGCTCTGTAGACTGCTGCATTGAATCTATCAAAGTTATTTTAATGGCTGATTTTCAATGTAAGTCACTCTGTCCTATTTAGTGCTGGAAGAAATCTCAACTTAAATATTCCTTTGTCTATCATTCAAAGCCTCTAATGATGAGACTTAAAGGCCTTCTGATATGGTAGGTTTCCTGTTTCCAGAGCATGAGCCTCTGACAGTGGTTCTTAAACTTCAGTGTGCATAAGAATCAGCTGGGGAACTGGTTAATAGGGGTTCCTGGGCCTTAGCACCAGAGAGTAAAGAACAGAGCTGGGCTGAGGTTCAGGAATTCACATTTATATCAACCACACTACCACACCCCAAGATTCTGATGCATCAGATCTTCAAACCACACTTGGAAAACATTTTTAACCTTGTTGGTTCATCCAAAAGTGATATGACATAGTGCTCTTTTATGTCACTGTACGAGTCCATGTTGGCTCCTTTGGCCTCTCTACTTTTGGTGCAGGAGATGAGTGGTACTAATAGGAAGAATGACATCCAAGAAGGAAAATAAATTAACTCTAAGAATACAACAAGGAATTGAACTCAGACTTCCCCTAGGTCCATGCTATCCACATTTTGTTTATTTTTAGGTAAATACAAATGTGTCTCTCTTAGGCATGCAGAACATGGTCTTCTAGTTACCGTGTTGATACTTCATGTGACTTCTGAGGCTATATGAGTAAGAGGTGCTATCTCAGATTAACTCAGTTCAGTTTTCCTGATTTCCTGGCAAACTAAGCCTGGCCAAACACTGTCCTGTGCTGTATAGATAGACAGAACAGACAATTAGAGATAGCCAGCAGGCCACATCAGCCGAGTCCTGCCCACCTCTTCCTCAGCACCCTGATGCACATACCATCTAGTGCCTCTGGTCACTCTCATCTCCCACCCTTACTAGGCCCAAAGCCTGTTCATTTGAGCTCATCACTGCCATCAGCCCTTGCAGCACCCTTCTTGGGCCTGAATTCAGTGTGGCCAGGGCTGGCAGCAACTGTAAAGTGCCTTGAGACTGGGTATAGAGAGTGGCTATGGTGAAAACCTGGGGCCTTCTGGATCCCTCAGGACCAGGGKCCCCTGTTGGACTGTTTGTCTCTCACACTGGGCTTGACCTTGTCTCCACCCTACTCCAGCCATAAGTCTCCAGCTTACTTCTCTCCTGCAATCCAGTCTCACCACACTCAGGTGACTGCCAGCCCTGGCCACCCTTGGCTGCAAAGCTCAACTCTAAGCTCATCTTTCACCTCATTCTCTTTTCTGGAATTTCAATATCCCATCACAGGGACAGCACTTGGGTACCCAGTTTGTAATCGTTAGAGTTGGGTGGAAGTCTCTTCTGAATTGTGACTCTTTCCTCCCTGGGAGAGAGAGTCTGCTGTGTGCTTCTTTTATATCTTGCACAGTTTTCTGGAGACACTCAGCACACTTGTGGATAAATGGATGAGTGGAGCTGAGTGCTTCACAAGTTCAAAGGGCTTGTCAGCTAAAGGGGCAAGAAGCAATTTTTCACCAGAAACCATGACTAAGAGTTACTCTTTGAGTATGAGGAGAAGCAAAGGTACAGTCAATGTTTCCTAAATGCCCAGAAACCTGGAATACTCTCCAGTCATGATTGCAGTTTTCTTGGGTTAATTTGCAACTATTCGTCTGCTGGTTTTGTTTTTTGGCCTGTTGGTTACTTCTCAGTTTTACCTGATGGATCCAACCTAGAAAATGGGCTTGTCTACTGGTTGATATTGTGAAACACCTGAGCATTGGTACTGTGTTCAGTCCTTCCAAAAACATGAAGATTTGCTTTAACAATCCATAATTTTTTTAAGTACAAAAATGACTTTTYATAAAGTTCTGCATAAATAACATGCATCACAATAGTGAAGAAGGGGATGTTTGCAGTATATCCTTACTCCTTTATATTGTATTCTGTAAGTATTTATTGCACCTCTGTAATGATGAGATCCAAGTAAATGGCATCTTTAAATGAATGCCCCATGGGTCCCAGTGGTTAATAACACAGAACTTGGCATCAGAGACCTGAATTCTTTACTTGGTCAGAAGCCTTTGCTGTGACTCCACTGTCAATTTTGGACAATGGCAATATCTATTTCATGGGACTGTTTTGAAGACAAACGGAGATAATGCAGGTGAAGTTCTTGACACTCATCTTAACAATGCAGTAAGTTCTCAATGGATGCTACATTTCCTTCTAAATATTATGGCAACTGGATAAGGTTCTGGATCTTGTGCTAATTCAAAACTACCAAAGTCTAAATTATCAGAATGGAAAGAGAGTCACACTCATCAACTGGGGACCCACTATGTTCCAGGGAGTTTACAAAACAAAAATGTGTAAGGTGTAAGACACATGTCAGTTGTGAGGATCTTGTGATTTAACAAGGGATGAAGGTAAGGCATGAGGTCAGAAAATAAGGGATACGGAGATAAGGAGGTCAAATCACACAGGGTTTAGAGGGCTGGGATAAGTATTGTGGATGTGATTTCCATGCACTCAGGGTGGATCTAAAATCCCCCCAAAGGTCCTGCCTGGTGGGGCTGACCACTGCACCAGCCTCGTTGGGAGCAGGGGACACTCTCTATCTTACTTAATACACTCTTCTGCAGCTCCTCAAAATTGGAGCTCTTTCCTGCYTCTAGTCTT